GTGAGTGGAAAGAAAAGCCACCAGGTCTCTTACTCGTCTCATTTTGCAGCAAACTTTGTTTGGACTATTTGGTTCACATACCTGTACTGTATGCTGCAGTTTTTGTGGTAGAAACACTTTTTGGTCAACATATGGTTGCAATTTGTTGCTTGTGTTGTCACACGTGTTTGTTGGTAACATACTTGCACGTTCATAAAGGACATCCCACATAGGTAGGTAGTCGTATCCCGCAAACGGAAACTCTGTTATAAGGAAAGATTGGACACCGCAAATATGGTTCATGACTAGAAAATACTTATTGTACCGCTCTACTTCTACTGGTTGGACCACAACTCGTCTGCAGCAATGCACTGGCTGAAATAGGTGATCAACAACACTGTTCTCATGAAAAAAAGTAGATTCATACTTGAATTCCTTTGTTCTGTTCATGTTTGATATGGACCGTCAACAAATGCAGTTTTTTGAAAAAAAAAAACTTGTATATGTACCGTGTCTTAATAATAATAATGATAATGCATTTTATTTAAAAGCGCCTTTCATGCCACCCAAGGACACTGTACAGACAATAAGAAAATACAATGTAAAAATTTGTAAGCGAGATATTATATAAAAAACAGGACATAAAATCCATAAAAACATAGGGAATGGAAGAGCTAAGTGTTGTAGGCAATCCTGAACACGTGTGTTTGACCGGCCTGCATTACCAAATTTTAAAATTCAATGTAGCCCCCGAGCCCAAAAATTTTCCCACCCCTGATCTATTTAATATTGAACGTCATGTTTCTTTTGCCGAATCAATCCTAAGAGCTTGCAAGTGGTCATCACGTCACACTTCGGGAATCACCGTTAAAAAGTACATGAACTCTTTTCATCTCGATCTGGTATGATTGCATTTATTACAAATCATCATCATCAGAAAATCTCACTGTATAGCCTACGTTGAATTTCATGCGTGGATAGTCGATAACTTTCGAGTTTTTTATTGTTTGTTTTTTTTTTCGTTGGAGGGGTATCATGTCTGACCTTAATCCACTGATTTGAATTATTTTTCAAATGAATGACAAGTAAAAATGGAAGGTCATTTGATTTTTTTTGTAAGTTTGTTTCAACCAGTGGTGAGGGGCATTCAACATCTTTGAAGAAATCAAAAAGAAAACTATGAGTGTGGGGTTGTCAAATCACTGAGAAGCTTTGTGAGTCAGAATGCGCTCCGATCAAACATGGCATCAATCATGTCCAGAGTGTCGAGGCCCCGAGAGCGGATGGAATCGTGTCAACCTCGCATTGCGCGAGGCTGCTGAATGGAAAGCAAAAGAATAAAATGGGGGTCATTTTCTTGTCTTTTCTTTCAGCACGACATACGCTGCGTTATTTCATCACAGCGTCCTCTCAAATCACAAAGCTGCCAGAGTACTGGGAGGTCGCGTATGTTGACGGCGTTCAGATTTCGCACTTTGACAGCAACAGCCGGAAAACGAAAGCCAAACTGGACTGGGTGAACAAAATCGCAACAGAGGATCCAGACTTCTGGGAGCGAGAGCTGCGCGGCAGTATCGGCAATGAGCAGGTGTTCAAGGTCAGCCTTGAAATCGCTAAAGAGCGCTTCAACCAAACTGGAGGTTCGTTTTCCGCTCGTACAACGTCGCCAATGTGCCCCGACTCATAAACACGCACGTCACTGCCGGCTTCTCTCTGTTCATCGTGTGCATGACACTTTCAGGCGTTCACATGATCCAGGTGATGAATGGCTGTGAATGGGATGACGAGACTGGTGAGGTGGATGGTTGGGATCAGCACAGGTATGACGGAGAAGACTTCATCTCATTTGAGTGGAAAACGATGAGATGGATCGCAGCGAATCCACAAGCTTTCATCACAAAGAACAAGTGGGAACGATCGGACGGCATCAAAGAATACTCGAAGAGATACGTCACTGAGATTTGTCCTGCTGTCTTGAAGACGTATGTGAGCAATGGGCGGGACTTCTTGATGAGAACAGGTGCAGTGGCCGCTCACACTCTCTCGTCCTCTCAGCCGTTCTCTTCATCTGTCCATCGTCCTCGCACGCTCTTGCTTTCTTTCACCCTCTCTTCATGCTCGCTGCCGGTTGTCCTCTCGCACCTTCTTGGCGCGCTTCCAAGTTGTCCTCGTTTGCCGTTTCCTTCGCTGTCTCACGCATTCCCTCCATCTTCCATTCACAGGTACCATCTTTTGCTCCCACACGTTTTAGCCCTCGTTGACCCCTCTCACACATTGCCCCTTTTGCCTTCTCACCCTTTCTCCGTCCACCAAGCCGTCGCGCATTTTACCCGACTTTTGTCCGCTCCCACTTTCCCTCCGTCTTTATCCTGATGCGTTCCGGTCATCTTTTGCCCTCACACATTCCCTGAGCATCATCCTCTTGCGCGTGCTCTCCCTACTTCCTCCTCTCACGTGATTTCTCCTCCCACATTTGTCTTTGCAAAGTTCTTCTCACACTTTTGCTCCATCTTTGGTCCTCCTACGTGTCCTCTCCGCCTTTCTTCCTCCTCTCACCCATTTCTCATCGTCTTTGGTCCCCCTAAATCAGGGGTCGGGAACCTATGGCTTTTGGGCCCAATATTGCT